AGGCATAGTCCGCAATATTTCCTATTCTTCAACGCTCTCCCTACAACCCATATATAAGGAGCAGATCGCTTATCAGTTCAATGTATTTTACTGTAAAGATCCGACAAGTGTAGACGTATATCTTACAAAGTTACATAGCCGTGCTACTCGGTCGCGATGAAATTATCAAAGTTAACGTACTTTTTCCAAAACAGGACAAAAGTATCATGAAAATATAGGTCGATACATCATTTACAAACAGAAAATGCACATAAAAACAAGGAATAAACGCAAAAAATCTAAGGCCACGCAAGGAGTACTACATGTTGGCCACGAGTTTTGAGTGTGCAATCGGGTGTCACAAAATCGAACTGTTTATATACCCTTCTGACAGTGCCTATTTATGAGAACATGTAAATAGTACCCATGAAAGCAAATTCCAAAAGCAGCAAAATATTACTTTAAACCACTGGTACTTTGTTTCCGTGGTTACACGGAAAAAAAGAAAATGATCAAATTTTCTTATGTTGTTGGTGTTGTGGTGTTGCAAGGTCCTAGGGATGTATGTCACAAATACGGATCCAGTGCCGGGGTGCCGGTCATCCCCCCCTCCCGTTTGAAGATTCTGTACATGTACACTAATGTATATAAAATTTATATGTCCACTATCCTAAAATCAAGGAAAAAACAGCTTTCATTTGTGGACCCCCACTAGTCCCATGCCCTAAACCCAATGGGGACTTCAGTGCAGCCTTGGACCCTCTGCCTTCTACTGCCCCCCACCCCCAACCCAACCCCACCCCAAACCCACCCCATAACAAAATTGCTTGATCGACTTTCTTGAATTTTCCTGTTTTTTTTTTCTCTCAAGATAAGGAGCACTAGCCCAATTTCAGTAAAGTAAACAGATAGCTAATGAAACATGCAAATTTATGCTGAGGTCAGAAAATCTAGTCGGTACTGGTATTCTAAATAGTGCGCGAAGTAGAAATCAGATTTTGCAAATAAAAAAAAAACAAACATTTTTTTTTATTAAATTCAAACATTTGGAAATTAATGTATTCTTTGAAAATTAAGGTACACTGATGGCATTAGGAATTCTATTTATTTTATCTCAGTTTAGTTCAGTTTGTTGAAGTTAAAGAGACATATATCTCACAATTATACATTTTTAATAACAAATATAATGATGAGCTTAACATGCAACATCTACAGTACATATTATATTTTCTATAATGTATAAACAAGTGAAAGGCACTATTATTGATGCACTCACTAGTTGCACAAATTTTCCTAGGTTACATAATTCTTTTTTATTCTGTGTAATAACATGACTACGGTAAGTAACTGTACTAATTTGAGGGCACTTGGTCTTCGGGAGTATAGTACATATGTACGTATGTGTTACAGTTTCTATCGAACATGTACAATTTTGCAAAGCCTAGCCAATGAAATTCATTTTTAATATTTACAATGCAGTCATCATTATTTTCTGTCCTTTTTTGGAGACATGCTTGAAGAATACAATTATCACTACTTAAAAAGAAAAAAAAACAATATTTAAGGATTTTCTTTTCCCTGACCAGTTCAAGAGGAAATTCACCTAATTCACAATATATTACCATAATGTTATATGTATTCTGAAAAGGGTACATAGTGCGGGGTGCAGATATAATCATGTTTTGTTGTACAATTTTTAGTGTATTGATGTATACGGGTATACCTATTGAATACATCAAAACATCCCTCCTTTTAAGTAATACTATATATCATTGTAAGTTAAAAAAAAACAGTTTGATTAATCTTTTGAAATTAATGTTTTTGAAATTTAAAAAAAAATACCACACAAAATTAAAGAGAATTTGTACACTTTGATTGATTGATTGTGTATATTGTTAAACGTCTCTCTCTCTCTCGAGAATTTTTCACTCACATGGAGACGCCACCACTTGCCGGTGGAGAGCTGGAAATTTTGTCATATACATGTACTTGGCACTGAGGGCCATTGAGCAGGGGGGAATCTTTTTTCGTGCCTGTATCTACTGCGACACGGGACCTTGGTTTATACGGTCTCATCCGAAGTACCAGTCTCCACGTCCCACAGTGGGATTCGAACCCTGGACGTAAGGATTGACTCCTTTGCGACTCTTGAGCAGACGCTTTAACCACTGCGCCACGCAGGCGACTGTAGACTTCGAAAGATGTATGTTGATTTTCGAAATCCATTGCTTGGTAAAAATATATCATCTCATGCAAAGTGATCAAAAATATGAACGCTAGGGATAGAAATTTACAGTACAAAATTTTAGGCTATAATTTTTTTTGTCCTACATTTATATGGCAACTATTGACTTTGGACAATTGCAGGCACTTTTTCTGTATTTGTCCTGCTTAGGGCATTGATTCCCTATTGACGTATTGTAGTTTTATTATACCCAATTTGGACCATTGTTTCAAACAAGGGATGTAGCAACAGGGGGCCCAAGGGGTGGGGGCTGCCCCCCCCCCCCAGTTTTTTCGAACGTAACTTATCACTGTAGGAAATGTTTATTAGAATACACCCCCCAACTTTACAGTTACAGTTAAGGGAAATAAAGGAAATGTATTATTGCATTAAAATAAAATTTGGTGCTAGCTGAAGGTGTGCTTTTATTGTAAAAAAAAATTAAATAAAAATATCATATATCAATTATACAAACAATGATATTTCAATAAATATTTTCTAAACACCGGGAGCAAGCCCCTGTGCACCAAGATTCATTTTTTAACTTCATAAAAAGATTGCTCATGAGGAAAACTTAGTGTGGTAAAAATTGTAAATCATGCTAGTTTGAACATCTAACCGTCTAAGCAAGCTACTCTAAGTATACATACAGAGTTACGTAGAGATTGTGTCTGTCACTGTCTGACCTGACATATGTCTACATTGTCTCTTATCAATGTGTCTTTACATATATATAATGTAATATTTTCTTTGCGAAATGTACCGGGGTCGGGGGAGAGTCAGGGCAGAGGCCCCCTCAGGTGTCACAATTTTCAAAGCAGAGGAATCTCGGTTAAATGCATGAAAGCCAAAAAATGGAAAGAAAAAAGCACAGGGGCTTGCTCCCGGCGTGTAATAATTACTTATTTAAAAATCATTTAAGAGAGTAATCCAAGGGAAGTAATTGCTTCAAAATGCAGAAAAAATTCATATTCACCTTTAAAATTCTTTTATGCATATCATTTGCCCACGAATTTTTATTTAAAATGTTTAATATAATAAAATGTTGACCTTTTTTCTATGCTTAATTTGTAAATGATTGTATTTTTTGTCTTAAGCATTTAAAAACAGCAAAATTTACCATATTTTGATATTTTCGAGTACCTAGCATGACCACTAACAAGTGTGAAATTAAAATTGAACCGTAAACATTGTTGTTTGAATCTCTAGCATTGGTTTACAAAAATTATACACAAATTTATTTATCTCCTTTCATTTCTGGACATCTTCATGAAAAGAGCAGATTTTCATGATTTACAGAAATGAGAAAGTCTGTATCCCGTTTCCATGGCAACGGTAAACCGAGGATATAATTCAAAAATACTTCTACATTTCACAATCAATCACACATTTGTTTATAATTATGACAGAAAAAAATTCAAATCCGTAAGTATGCGTTGCCAACCAATTTTGATAATTACGGAGAATTGGTCTTAAAATGCTTATGTACAGAGACTTTAGAGAATAACTTTAGCTCCTTGTAATATATAATTTTATTAACGTTATAAGCTCAGTAATATTGCTATACATTAATTAAGATCAAAAATTACTATTGTTAAAGTTCAACACTATTTTTTGATATTTACCAAATCATCATTACTAGACGAAAATAATCAAATCTGTGAATGAGTGCATGTCAAAAGTGGATTTATTTTCTTTGTTGCTATGGGGAATTTTCTGTTACTACGGTGATTAGTATATGCAAAATATTCCTGGATTCATGAAGAAGTCTCAGAAATAGGTTTTTACTTTAAAAATTGATTTTGGTATCCACCGTTAAGATTTAATTCCATAAATAACTGGCATATTTGACAATTTGTCTCTTTCTCTTAATCAAAACATCCATTTTTGTTGCTAGGCAACCGATTGTAAATATTAAAAAACACACGTTTTTGAATTTAAATTCCAAAAAGGATATTCCTCTGCCTTTATGTAAAATATACCATACTCTTGTATTGTGCAAGAAGTTTGAGATATATGGCCTTGAAAATTGCCCAAATTAACAAAAATGCTGAATCAGCAAAAAATGCAAAACATACTTATCTTCTATTGCCCGTAAAAGAAATATCTTAAAATAAAAATTGTATGTATTACCTGGTTTTATCACTTGAAATGTTTATCTCTATGAAAACATTATTTAAGAACCCCTCCGATAATATTCACATTCAATTTCAAGCCTCTAAGTTTAGCGATATATTTGTGCATAAACATGGAAAATTGACCGGTTGCTAGGGAAAATTTCTTTGGCCATGTTTCCATAGTAACCAGGACCCAAAATAATTTTCATTTTACATACGTGGTTCATAGGGTAAGAGAAACCTATGTGTGTAAAATCATCGAATTCTGAGAACCCTCATGATTCACCTTTTGTCTGATTCTTACAGAGACCTGTACTTAATTAGAAAAGTCTTCGAAACATGTTATAGTGTCGGAAAACTGACGAAGAAGCCTGGATGTTTTCTTAACTTTGATCATGCAGGTCGAATGGAATGTTTCCTGGGGATCTTGACGTTGTGCGACGTACATGTACAAATTGCAAAGACCTTAATTTATAATTAGTTCTGAAATAGCTCGACATACAAGGTTAGACTATTAAAGTAAAGTTAGAACCATTTCTATTTCACAATGAACCTCTAACTCACAAAATTAACTTTACATAAAGGTGTTAATTTTTTATACACAAAAATTGCGATAAGAATTTAAACAATATACAGTGTACATTGTAACACAATGCAATGAAAAGTTTTAGTATTGGTCATTCAAAAACTAAATTTTGGAAATCATGACTGCGAATTCATTTTAGTATTTGTAAGAGTAGTACACTCTGTTTTTAATTTCATTTTGCCATAGTTAAAGTTTAGTCCTTCTAATACACCTGGTTAGCTTTCCCTTTGGTCCTCTAAGCTTACTTTTTCTTAAGGAGCAAAATGAAAATCTGTCGTAACAACGAAAAGTGGGATCGGATTTTTCTGGAAGTTTCTTATCTCTGAAGCACTACAAAACAGATAAAAACAATGTTTATAGTCATTTGATAATTGAATGCTGTCTTTATTCTTAAATACGATATACTTCAATATGTACTGGTCAGTGCTTTGCAATTGAAAATCATTATTAACTGAATCACTCAGAAGTTGACCATTTTGTTGCTCATGTTGTGTGGTTCTTAGGAGTTTTGAGACTTAATGAATTCGAAAATGTGTTTAAACTAGTCCAATTGTGCTTCAGATATCTGGTAAAATGACTACCACAATAATTGATTTAATGCCCTGTTCACATGGAGAGTTTAATTCGAATTAAACGTAAAGTTACTGCGAATTAGCTTCGCTTAGCGTTCACACGGAGAATTTAATGCGAATTAGTTTAATTCGAATTAGTTTACTGCGCATTAAATTACTTCGCATTAGCTCCGTGTGAACGCTAAGACAAGCTAATTCGAATTAAATTTTGAGGCATGCGTAATGGCAAAATTAGGTCAAATGCCACATGTCCGTGGTCAGCTTGAAGTATTTGTGCTATTTTTGAGTGAAACTAAGGAAAATTGTGTTAATCACTGAAATGTGTACAGACACTGTAACATAAGGCCTATGTCAAATGCATCTGGTGACGTGATTTGCAAATGACGTCATAATAGCCTTACTGACGCCTGGCCGTAGAAGTAGAGTTTTGATTCGCATTAGTTTACTTCGCATTAGCTGTCGTGTGAACGGAATTTAATTCGCATTAGTTTGATTCGCATTAGTTTACTTCGCATTAATTTACTGCGAATTAAACTCGTCGTGTGAACAGGGCATAAATGTAGCATGTGTAGATGATTCAAAACAGAGCATGAACTATGACGTCATACAGGTACCTTATTCAAGTCTCTGCAGTTGTTCGTGTATTTGTTCTTCTTCAACCAACGCCTTTGAAAGAAGTTTAGATTTTTCCACTCCCGTGCACTGATTACGTATATACAGCCGTCAAGATCTTTGGATACTGAAGTGACCAGACGCAATATTTTTTTATTAATCGTTATGTAATTTTATTAGTACAGGAAGTAAAAACTCGTTTAATGACTTCATCAACTGGATGATATTTCTTTAATAAAAAACATCTCATTTTTAGATACAAATTTCAATACAGCGAAATCAAAAGTTTTACAAATACAGTTCATACCTGTGACAAAATATACCATGACTGGCTTTAAAAGTTCTTTTGTATCAATCAATGTGACTAAGGTCTTTTGGGAAAAATCGAAATTGGTCCCAGTCTGTAAATGTACGGTAGACTCACGAGTTGCATCATAATAACAAACAGGAGGATGAAAATGAAGAAAACGTAGAGACATATACTTACTTTAAATACCGTTGAGATATTGACGTCATATTTCTTGCCAGGACGACATGATGTGGTTTTTGGCGGGAGTCCTAGAGGACCGAAAACCTCCCGCTTTTTTCTATAGGGAGGATCCATAACCAGTAGTGGGACATGGAAGCCACCCCCGATCAGAGGAGGAACTGAACTCACTTCGTTTCTCACTGTTATTTTTAGAGATGCTTAAACATAAAACAAAGGAAAAATTAAGTATCGAACGATACATAAACATGCATGATCGATAAAAATGAACATGTACAATTTATCGTTAGGTCGGATGTTGACTGACGTTTTCATAAGAATTGTTTGAAACACATTTTTTTCTCACTGAATTCAATTTTACGTCTATCCGGTCATTACTAGGAAGTTGAACTAAGGGAGCACACAACGGTTGTGACCGCTAAACATGGGATGCCTACTCCTCAGTGGCACCTGATCCCATCAGTGTTTTCAGAGGTTTGTGTTTCGCTCTGCTCACAATTATAGTATTGGTTAATTTTGAGCATCGATATCGTTATCTTCACATTTGATTACAGTGTATAACTATGAAGCACGCAGTTAACTGAGGCCTGTTCAGCAGAGCGAACGTTATCTAGCGCTCGCCAAAATTACTATTGGAGGTATAAGGAATTTTGGCGAGCGCTAGAGAACGTTCGCTCTGCTGAACAGGCCTCTGGCCTCTATGAATTTTCCAGCATTTGAGATGCAATTATATAAACATGAGATGCAACTTTTTACTTCATAGGTCAATATGCTGAAATTTTTTTTTTCTGATTATAAATGTCTTTAAATACTAGTATAATGACTTTTAATGATTAACGTGTTGCACTGACATCAAGATAATTTTTGTAATTTTATGAAATCTTAAGCTTTCAACATCGTTTATAAGATAGGATATAACAAGGTTAGCTTTTTTAAAAAAGCTGAGTGTCAGCCACTGGAATACAGAAAGTTTCTCTCTTGTTTTGTAATGGTTTATGATTTGATCTATCCATCATGTTGTGTTCCTTAAATATAATAAATGCCATTGTAAGAAAAGTTAAATTCTTGTAATCGTTTTCTTATTTGTAACATAATGCCACATACATAATAAATAATAAAGCATAGAATAATTTTTTTAAAGAAAAATTATGAATTTATGAAAACCACCACAATATGAAATATTTGTAAAATGGAATGACCTTTGTTATGGCGTCCGTAAAAAATGAAAAAGGGGCAGGGGGTTAACTCTATACTTAATATATTTTAGTTTAGGAAAAATTCTGCGTGATCATTACAATGATCTTCAATAAATTCTCTTCGGCGCAGACATCAGAGAAAGTTCATCTTTTATCATGGTTGCGGCACTTTTCCTTTGAAATTCCCTGTACAATAACTGGAGATACACCAGCAGGGGGCGGAGCTCATTATACAGCAAAACTGTGCTGTTTAAATAATTTATTGTACAACTTTCACGTTCCAGTGAAAAACAAACATTGCATCATACATTATTCTAGTAACATTTTTGAAAATGTACAAAACAGCTTTTTAAAATTGTTATAGGTATGGAAAAAATATTAATTTGAAATTTCCTTTCAAATAAAAATATTCAAATTACAAAATTACATCCATCTTGGACAGTTGTATACTTGTACACAAGTTTCTAATAAATTAAATGAAAAGCTGCAATTATTGAAATAAGGAAATGCCCCACCACTGCTCAAGTTGGTAATATCACTCCAAGCGCTCTGCATGATTTTCAGGGCCACATTCACGCTCGATAGGAATACTCGTTTTTTCTTCACCGCTAAGCGTTGTCCCGGGGGGGGGTGTCTAAACACAAAAACTACGAACTCTACAAGCGATATCTGCATTTGAACTTTTGAATGCCCGGGCCCCATCTTCAATCTGTGCTCTGTCTAGTCCATAATGTTTTGCTTATCAATTCCACTCTGGCATAATGAAATTCCCCTTAAGTCCCGCACGATCACATATTATGTTCATCATAGATTTCAGTTTGTTAACGCCGACAGTCTGAATGCCGTACCGTGGTGGTGACCCACCTAGCGACCGTCTGTAGAACAGACCTTAATTTCCAAAGGCCACTACGTAAAGTTTGAAGAAAATCCTCCATTTAAAGCTACCCTACAACATTAAAATTCCAAATAAAATATCTAATATAAATTATGAAATGCGACAGGCATATTTTTCATGTGATCTCTGTACAATAGTTATACCAGGGAGTCATCAAATCTAAGTATACATTTAAATAAATAACGAGATGAAAAGGGGACATAACATAAACAAAGGGGGGGGGGGCATAACGAGATGTAGGGGCGGATCGAATGATCTCTATACAGTAATAAAAGACAATATACTTGTAAGCAATAATTTTATAATCAGAATTTAACTTACCGGGCTGGCAGTAATGCCTTATTAGTTTGTTGTAAAGCTCCTTATGCGTTTTGGTAGATCTTCCAGTAAACTCGATGTATTTTCCTGCTTCACCATCATTACAAGCGTCCATATCTTGTGACTGTCAGTCGCGCTATGCACAATTTGCGCGGGGCAACGGGAAAGATTTTTCACGTGATTGGAAAATTGAATTTAATTGGAGTTTGGATGTTTAATAATGAATAATCATTTTAGAAAATCACGTGTTCAAATGTAAACTTTTTAATTGGACCATGATACAAGACAGTTATTGAATATTTATTTTGGTGTATCCTGAGTTATTTGGGCGAAGGGCGGAGACTCGTGCTTCGCACTCGTCACCGCCCTTCGGCCAAATAACACAGGATACACCAAAATAAATATACAATAACTATTACTTATACCGGTAAATGAACAAAAGCAACCATGGCGACTAAGATCACGTAAAATTCTATAAAAATGATATAGATTATGATGAATAAAAGGAAGGTAGACTTTGTGTTAGTTTGTTTTTAAATATTATTAAATAGGTTTTCATTTGTGCATTTCGAGGCAATGCATGGTGGGGGGGGGGGGGGGGGGGCATGCTGCATGCATATTTAATTCCATTTCTAAGTTTGAGCATCCATTTTAGTGTTATTAGGAAAGAAAAGAATTGCTTCCAAAAAAGTAATGAACGCCACAGAAAACAATTTAAAATGGAAATTCAAAATATGTTTATACATGTACACACAATGTCTTTGATGATGTCTACCGTCATAGCAAAGCTATAGCTTAAAAAACTGAAATCCATCTCCCCCCTCTCTCCTTTCATGGGGGGGGGGGGGGTTGACCCTGTCTATAAATCAGCACAGTTCTCTCAGGCTATCGCACTTCCACTGTGGTCAATTTCTCACATGTGGGCGCGGTTCGCGTGCACAAGCGGCACTTACATGTCTATCATCATGTAAATTATAAGAATTTTTAAATGTCTCACAGTGGTCTTAGAACTGATGTTTTCATAACTTCCATCATTAGAGTGAAAAGAAATTGATCTTTCTTTTTTATTTTTTTTTTTTTTTTACTATTTTGGGACCTTTGTGGCAAGTGGATTGTTGTGTGAATTCCGACCCGTACATGTCTTATGCAAGGTATTGAATATTGATCGAGGGAGTCTTGCATCAGGCATCCAGAAGAAATGTAAATCTTCGGCTTCCAATGGCGATTGAGGGAATAAATGTACTTATCTTCTATTAGAAGCAATGAAATATTTTCATAGTATCATTTAATACTGACAAATATCCCATCTAGAAGCTGAACAGTCTATGTCATGAATTTTCGTCCAGAACTACGAAGAACAATGCAGTCTATAAATAGATCGAGGTCGTGAGTGTGCGTGAAGAAGCACGCCCTCTGGTTGGAGAAAATTGTGCAAAACTTTTTCCCAGAATTCCGTTTAACGCAAGCGCACTTGCAGTTTCATCCTAACGTAACTAGTCAGCCCGGGGGCTGACTAATTAGGGCTTAATTCAAGAGCATATATAGATTTCTAAAAACAACTTACATGTATATCATGATTTAAAAATATATTGATTATTTATTCCGTATTTCTACTAATTTTCGCGAGATTAAGATTTCAGTGTATATTTCTAGTCGTTTGTTTACCAATTCCTTCTCATGGCCAGCATGACTTTGCTAAATTAAAAGCTACAAATCAATAATTATAAATATTTTCCAAGGATTTGTAATTAAGTCATCCATGCATTCTTTAAACTATTTAAAATTATCTGAGATGTACATCAAGTTTCAAATCATTTTTCGAATTAAAAAAGAACAACTTACCTGTACCTTCTTTACAGATTTCTTCTTGTATATGCTCCATTAAACTGATTTTAAACATTATGATTGTTAAATACCTTTTAAAAACGAATGTAATCTATCGGCATAGAAAATAAATAATTTTATTTTAGACAAACTCATCAATTCATTTCTCATTACAGAATTAGACCTTACTGCCAATTTTTATAATGATAGAAGAGATGAAATAAAATATCTGCATGAACCTTCATCATTGGAAATCTTCACAACACCAATTTTTTGCACCTTGTTTGGACTTAAAAATCCATTCATCATTAAATTATGAATATATGTTTGTGCTTTTCAATTTTCTTTGAATTTCCGAGTAAATGTTGCAAAATAATTCTATGTCATTTATATTAGACTGAAATTATATCATTTAATATTTTCCGTCAAATGAGATCCAATATTTACAGAGATCATTTTGAACACCTTTTTTTTCAGATTGATAGAAATTAAATAATTTTAATGAATATACAATGAGGTTTTATTTTAAACAAAAATAATACTTATCATACAAAAGGTGAGATATTTTTTAATTTAATCTTCATTATGGTTGGAAAGACGTTAAAAAATACTTACATAGAGAAATATCCAAAATATGCAAATTCAATGACGAAAAATAATGCCGTTTTCATTTTTTTGCTTTGGAAATGCTTAATATCTCAACATTAACTATAAACAAACGGACGGCTTTTATGTCACTTATGAAGAAGTTGTGACTGAGTTTAACATCATTCACAGATTGCCAGCACATACTCTTACAGAATTTATTTTTCATTAAGACGAGATACTAAATCCGCATGTAAATAATAAAACCCTTGCAACTTCAGAAAATGTTCTTTGTAACAATGGTGTTGCCAACAGTTGGTGACAGATAACAATAAAATGAGAAATGTATTCACATAATGTTGTCCTATGCATGATAGATGGACCAAAAAAATTCAAAGGAATCCTTGAACCGCATAATTATAATCAGCCAGTTTTCAACTGGTTGCATGTTTAAAGTAAAGATGTTTTGTGAGATCGAATTTTACTGGATTTTGTATGAATCTGGATTATTTACATTGCAGAACGTAAATGAATAATCTAACAAAAATTTTGGTGACAGATGGACAATCGTCATTTAGGATTATACGTGAATACCAAGAGTAAAATTCTGGATTCATATAAAAAAAATATTGTGATTAGAAATCGAAGCTTTTCTGATAACATTTACTTCACATAGTACTTGACATGTATCATATATTAATGCACACTACAAATGCTGAACTTTCAGACTGTCTTGCAATCTTATTTCAAACAATCGACGTAAGCCGACATTAAAACGTGGTTAGCAACTGTTCCTGCGCCATGTGCTTGGCACTTTAAAGTGAAAGTTGCGGGTCCTTCGGATGAGACCTTATATAAAAACCGAGGCCCTGTGTCAGCGACAGGCCTTGGTACGATAAAAATCCCTCACTGCTCAATGGCCCTAAGTGCCGCGTAAAGGTCAAAATTTGAAACTCCTCACCGATATATGGTGATGTCTATACATAAGTGAAAAATTCGCGAACGGACTTAAAACAACATTAAATCAATCAATCAAATAATCGATTAATCCTAAGTTACAAGAAAAAGTATTCTCACATTCTCACAAAGGTCACATGGAAATAAACGTTGCTTTTTGTAAAGTGTTTTCAACAGTGATCATGCTAAATAATACATCAACTTCACAAATGGTAAAAATGAGCTGTATATTGGCACAAAAGAATGTTACAGGTTAAGAGCATGGATGACAAAATTGGACTTTTGACATTTTTCAAAAGCTTAGTTATATATGTTCAAAATAGAAAATCCATATTTTTTACAGTTCTTAATATATAGCTTATGACAAGTGGTCAACAAGAAACACTGAGAGGCGAGGTTATCGTTCCGCTCCGCTCTGCAAAAGACACAAACTAAGGAAGTTTACGAGATTGCATAATCTGTAAACAAAGTCAAATGGACTGTTTCTTGCGGATTTGATTGATTGATTGTATATTGTTTAACGTCCTTCTCGAGAATTTGGGATTTGAGCATTGTATGAATGAAGTACATACTAGTTTTGCAAAGACACAAGTTCATGAATTGAAAGACTATAAAGCAACGATTGTAGACAGTAAATACAAATGCAGAACCTTTATTAATCCATGTATATCTTTCACAATGGAACCACAAAATTATATACACTGTATCTCTCCAAAGCTGGAAAACTTTATTAGTTCACTAAAAGTTCCTCGAAATCAATTTAATAGTACTCAAAGTTTGGGAATTAAACACGAGTATGAGTGTTTTTAGAAGGAGGATCATTTCGGAGACAAAAAGAACTGCGTGATCTTTCTTGTGTATTATAAACAGATTTTATTTTTATTAAGGTCTTATAATATTTTTTAACAATCTAGTTCTTTTAATACATCTGTTTAAATCTCTCTTTTTTCCTACCAGCTTTCTGTCACTTGAGGAACAGAACGAAAATCTGTCGTAACACTCGAAAGTGGGATCAGATTCCTCGGGGATATCTTTGAAGCACTGAAAAACAGAAAAAACAGTCTTTAAGTTAATCGACTGATTTGATTGTATATATGCTGTTCATGTCCCATTCGAGATTTTTTTTTCACCCATCAGAGGCATTGCGATATACCCGTGAAGGACTCCAATTTACGTGCGCTGATTACAAATATGCAACCAACAATATTTATGGTTACTTAATTGAATCGGCACTCAAGTGATCAGATATCTTTATCGTACCAACGCCTGCCGTAACACAGGGTTTCGGTCTTTTTAAGCCCCATCCGAGAGATCTAGAACTTTCACTTCAAAGTGTTGAAATCTGGGAGAAGCAACAATTGCTATTTATTTTTTATAGTCAGTCACAGCCGGGGTTTAAACCTACAAGCTTCCGATCACGAAACTAGCAACATCAATTTAGTTACCGTGATGGTTTAAGTCAATTGCCAAGTGAAAGGGAACTACTTTCACAATAAGCCACAAAGATGATTTGAAATTAAGAGGATGAAAAATAATAATATTTGTACCCTGTTTAAGTCTCCGCAATTGTTGGCATATATATTGTTCTTCAGCCAACCCCTTTGAAAGTCGTTAAGGTTCTTCCATTCCCGTGCACTGACAATGTATATGCAGCCGTCAAGATCCTTTGATACTGAAGTGACAGGACATAATTATATAATTTCGATGAAACTAATCTTTTATGGATGTTTTATTATTTTGCAAAGAGTCAGTTCAAGCTTAAAATTGACCACAGTACCACGATAATAGTAATCGTTTATTAGAATGGACTTTGATATTGAATACTGTTTGTTATCTCCATATCCTTCTTAATAGAAATAAATTATATGGCAAGGTAAAACATGTTTCATTTCACTTAATATAATTTTTAAAAAGTTGCACAAAATTAGAGCAAAATTTTGCATATATCAAATAATACTATTTTTAGAGTCAGTTTCAACATGTTCAACATGTTCAGATATACTAGAAACAAAGTCATGATGACATAACAAAATCAACGCAAACACTTAGATTGAAACAGTTCATATATACCCGTGACAAAATATTCTACGTTCGGCTTTAAAAGTTCCTTTGCATCAATCACTGTGATTAAGGTTTTATTGGAAAAAGCAGCATTTGTTCCACTCTGAAATGTAGGGAAATATACTTACAACATCTGCATATTGCAATTTTAAAGCTTTACTTGTTTTTTTTTTTTTAGATACCAGTACTTTGTGTAGTTATATAGATAGAAATCTTGCTTTGTTTAATAGATAGGGTGATATTCTCATGTTTTGTTCTTTGATTTATTTAGATATATAAAAGTGTCCTAAAATATAACTATAATATTCGACGGTCTAATTCGAGAACTTTAAATTTTAAAGAATTATATTAATCTCCTCAGATGTAGAATGCTTAAAAAGTCGTTCAATAAAGTTGCTATGGAGGTCATTAGAACAGAGTCAAGATTAATTAATGCTCATGGTCAAACCATGGCTTTTGATGTGACCAAAATGATGTAAAACAGACATTTTGTCATTTATTCTATGCAGTAATCCTGGTTGGGTTGTTAAAAAGCTAAATAAAAATTTTGCTGAGGAAATCGTTTAAATTATCCATGAATTATTCTGTTATTTTTGTCTTTTTTCTTTCAAATACAGAAACCTCTGGTTTAAATAATATGCTACTGAAACAATAACACAACAGAAGGATGAAAATGAGGAACACGTGGAAAGACGTACTTACTTTAAATACATTTGAGATATTGACATCGTATTTCTTGCCGGGCCGACATGATGTAGTTTGTGGTGGAGGTCCTAGAGGACCGAAAACCTCCCGCTTTTTTCTATGGGGCGGATCCATAACCAGTAAAGGGGCACGGAAACCACCCCCAATCATTGGAGGAAGAAGACGCACTTCATTTCTCACTGTTATACTTAAAGTTGCTAAAATATAGAATTAAAAATGAAATAATAGCAATAAATTCTAGTGTGGATAAAACAATCTTGTCAGCAAAAACGGCTAGAATTTGACTGACTTTTTAGACAAATTGTTGGGTCATAATTTCCGGTTTCCAGTTTCCTCAACCATGACTAGGAACCTGAAGAATCACATTTGGTTAACTTGCCGAGAAGGGATTCTTTTTCTTCTATGGCTCCTGATTACGTGTCTGATTAAAGGTCCCTTTTGCATCTACGCACCATTTTCATTGTTGAAATAGCTTTCTCAGCTTGATTATTGTACATTAAAATTTCATAACAAAGTAAAGACTGAGTTGATCAATATGTTATAATTTTTTTCTCACATATTTATTATTTTTTAAGTCTGACATATTTTTGATTGAAAAGGTAAAGACAGCATTGATCGATCTACAGAAATCTACAATTACAATTCTAGGAACAGGGCACATATTCGGAACCCCAGATTCATGTATAGCTTGCATATGTACCTACAGATGTAGAAATATTAGGTATCTCATGTTGACAGGTCACCCCCGCCACAAACCAATTGTTTTGACTAGGTTAAAAGAGCAACACGTATTTAAAGAAAAGCCAAATTGGTATGAAACAAGTCAGTCATATAACGACTGAATGATACGTTAAAAAGGAAGAATTTACTTACAGTGCCATTACAGTATCGACAATAGAATTTACGAAGTGTTGACTTTAAACAAGAAGTTGAAATCCTAGTAGCATCAACTTATCTGTCAGTAGCTTTCCTCGATTTAAAAATTGATCGTACTTAGAGCATGCTCTTGAGTATCAAATAAATGAGGAGAGGTAAAAATACCACATGCAGTATGTGATGGCCGAATTAATACATAATTGCTACATTGTTGCTATATAAGCAAGGAACGTATACAGTGGAAAAGCTGAAGTTGTCTCCTTTTTAAATTGAATAATTAGTTCTCTTATCATCTTTAATTAGTAAAAATCAAAATATGAAACAATATTGGCAGACTTTGTGGGGTTTTTTTTCGAAATTTGATTTTTATCACACGTTATCGTTCTTCGTTGGGACTTCCTTATTGTCCATAGTCAATTTAAAAATAGAATACTAGTATATGAAACGGAGATTGCAGACTTTGTAGTTTATTTCAGCTCTACTGGGATATATCGAGTCAACATATGAATTGAAGTAGTTATCGTTGATCAAAACAATGTTGACGATATATCTGAAAGTGGAGTTGAATATCTCAGGAAGTGTTTTACTCTTTTCTGATGAAGAAGTTTTTAGTTTTGTTTCATATGAAATCAGGTCGGCTAATGAAAGAATACAATAAGTGCCCCTCAGAATTAATTCCAAAAGTTTGATATAGGTATTTCTTTATTTCCATATTCATTTTATCATAAATCTGTATATTCATTAAACTTTACTCTAGCTTATCAGCAATGAAGTTTCAAATAATATCTGTAAAACAACTTACCCGTTCCCTCTTTACAGATTTCTCCTTGAATATGTTCCATCGATCTAAAGTTACACAACAAATGTAAAATAATAATTAAATATAGACAGAGAAGATACTTTGTTGATAGTTATACAACCAACTCAAATCCACCAATTTAAAATATCTTTCACACAGCAATATTGAATCCATGCTATTTCCATGAGAAACTAAAAAGCTTTTGATATGTATATGCAATTCATACAAAAAATGAAATACACATTCATAGACTATCCTCGTAAAAAATCACAGACCTTATCGCACAATCGGTTTACATTCATTTGACATTTGACAGAATATAGCATAAGGTTTTTTGACGTTTTATAGTTACTTATTAAATATTGTTTGTGTACTTGAAAAAAGCGGGCTTCATATTCTAGCGGTTTTGGCGGGAACAACGATGCGCTAATTTTAGAATACCGCTAATAAATCTTTTTACACAATACAAGCCACTGACTTGTGTAGCGCCAATTCATGATTACGCTTACAACTCCATGTACATCGATTGCGCTTAATTTAGAATACGTAATAAGTACGAAAATACGAATTTTTGAGTAATCAAATTTTCCAATTATAAAAACGTATTTATCACGTTAAATGAAGATAATTTTATTTGTTACCCATTTTTTAAAAAATACTTCTGTTTGGGCTTTTCATTTAATAATTTTTTTTTTTCATTTTAAGATTTTAAGATTGAGGATAGCTATTGATATTGATTGAATATTCAAATAAACTTTATCTTGTATATTTTCTTTAATCTTCATTAAGTGATGTTTTATGCTTGAAAGATGTAAAAATAGAAGTACTTACATTGAGAAATACCCAAGATATGCAAACTCTATCAAGAAAAATAAAACCGTTTTCATTTTTTTGTTAATTGCTTTTGAAAAGCAAGATACCAATATATTTAATTCACAAACGGGCGGCCTGACTGTGTCGTCAATACTGAAGCTTCGACTGTTAAAGCAACATCCACAGACAAAATGAACATACTTTTGCAAGGGGAATATATTTCCTTTTATACAAGACGCTTCATTCGTCTATAATAAAAGATGCTTCACGTAAAAAAAATATCTTCTGGAGCAATTGTGTTGCCAACAGTTGGCGTAATATCACAATAAAGAAGGAATTAAGTTTTAATTTTATTTTGTCCCATGTGTGAGAGAAAAGACAAAAACTTCCAAAGGAATCCTTGAACCCAAATAATTAAGATAAGCTGGTTTTCAATTGATTGCATCCTTAAAGTAAAAATGTAATGTTCGATAAAAAAAAATCTAGATTTTGTATGAGTTTGGATTAATTTTACTGCGGAAGCGTAATAATATAATAAATCTAACATTATAGTTTGAGTGACATATGGTGTTCAATATTTGAATACAGGAAACGCAAGAGAGAAGAGTTTCAACTCACAACTACAAAATTTTGCAAGAACCTTTTAATTCTTGAAAGTAATCAATGCAACTGTATTTTTTCAACCTATGTTCACTTTCTTTAATTTATTAAAAGTTAAACCTTCTACCATTACAAATCAATAAGCAATATTAAAAACATAAAGATGGTTTACACTACTCTTGCAGTTGAACATTCGAATTTTGATATTTTATTCTATCTTTAAATATTCCTACAATTACAAAACACATGCATGATATAGAAAATAAGCGAATACAATATATAGCTTTCGTTTTGTTATTCATATTCTGGCTTCGTAGTCAACTTGCTTCAGTCAAAATTAATATTAAGCATTCGATATGATTGATGATGGCCTTGTCAACAAATACAGACTATCGTCGAATTTTGCCTGGCGTTTAAATATAAATTGTTCAGATATTTTTTTCATAGTGAATTGTTTACAGATTTTCTTTCGTTCACCTAATTTTGTCCAGGAGCACATGGCCGTGTGACCGATCAAGGTGGTTGGTAACTTTTTTATGACTCTTGATCCATTGCATCTTTGCTCTCAGTTGGCATTGTTTAAAAATTTTGTTTTAATAGTTTTGAGCTTGATTGCTATTCGTGTGTGCATCTTTCTTTGAACATTTGAATATAAAAGAAGTTCATGGGCCACAATGCTCACATGGGGTCATGTTGTTCTTCACCACTTTCCCCTTTGTCGTTCCTATTGTGCGCCAAACCTGCCTCAGGGGTCATGATTTGAAAAATTGAAATCTACTTTACTAAAGGATGTTCCATATAAGTTTCATCATTTCTGTCCCAGTGATTCTTGAGAAAACATTTTAAAGACATTTCCTGTATGTTTCAATGTAAAACTTTGACTCCTTATTGTGGCACCGCAATACCACTGGAGGACATGATTTAAAGAATATAGAATTTACACTTTCCCAGGCTTCTTTCACGTACGAGTATGTTTCAGCTCTTCTGGCCCAGTGCTTCTAGAGAATGAATTTTTACTATTCATTTCAATGTAAAACTTTGATTCACTATTGTGACCCCATGTCACGTTTGAACATTTCAAAATCTTCACTATCCCAGAATGCTTGCACATAAGTTTTGGCTTTCCTGGTCAAGTTGTTCTTGGGATTATTTTTTAATGACCTCACCTTCTTTTTTTGTCTTTTCTGGATTATCTCCCATTGTGGTGGGGCTTGGCCCTTTATTTTTACATTTTAAGCTCTCCTTAACCCATGAATACTTGATACCATTGGTCCAATGTTTTTGAGAAGATGTTGAAAATGTTAAAAGTTTTCAGGTCAAGACGGACGGAGTGGTTGACAAAGGACAACGGGTGACCAGAAATCGCACTTAAGATTGAAACACAGGTGAGCTAAAAATAAATAATAGTTGATAGTCGAAAAATAGTTATATGATTATTCTTATCCCAATCTTATACAAATGGAGTTTTAGTTTGACAAAAGATTGACCGTATTTAACAAAACCCTCCGACATGCTCGATTTCTTAAAAGGGGAATTTCTTCAGAGAGATTTCAGTCTCTGACAATTAAAGCTATGCAATGTCAGAAACTGTCCTTTTGAACAATGCTGTCACCAACACGTTTGTGTAATCAGCACCAAGTAACTAGAATAAGCCATTTGTGAGAGTAAGAAAAAATATTGCTAAAGAACTCCTTGAATAAAATACAGGAAGTTTAAATGAACAAGTTACCATGCCTGAAAAGGGAAAACCCATTGTTTGATCAAAAACTCAGCAGAAATTTCTTATAGTAAAAAATTTACATTACAAACGATACAATTCTTAAGTCATCTTTGGTAGACAATATAGGTTTTGCAAACATATCATTGAGAGCGTAAAGTCTGTCTCCAGACGAGGCAACAATGCACATCTATGTTTTTTTTTTACATCTACTGATTTTGTTTGTTTGCTTGTTTAACTTCCCTCTCAAGATTTTGTCATTCATATTAACACTATTTAAAAACTTGATATTCACTTTCTTCTCATTTAAAATAATTACAAACCAAACATATCAACCAATTTTTCTTAATTCATCAGTTAATTTGTTTTTAGCTCACCAGATGTTGGACAAACAAAACAAGTCGATGTCGAAATTCCTATAATAAAAACATTCATTCTACTCCAAATATTTGAATATTTTTACGTAACCAGTCATTTCCTCTGTTATACAAACTCTGTCTTCTTTGTCAACTTTTAAACCCCATGGGCCAGAAATACCCTCCTTTGCTTACAAGCAAGTATTTTATAAGATTACCATCAACGTCAAGTAAATGAACCAAATTGTTAATAGAGTCCGAAGCAGCAATGTTTCCTAGACTGTCAGTATCTAGTTCGGTAGGTTCAAAATCTTCTTTATTTTCATAAAAGCCCCCACCACTGTAGGCAAATCTAAAGAGGCCAGTTCTATTAACATCGACAATAGAATTCTTGTATACATCTGATACGCAAATATCCTGGTTGATATTTTCAGAAATACAAATAGGTCTGCTATACAAGTGTTTTCCTTCATTGTCTTTCATTATTTCCTGCAGTGTTACTCCCTTATAGCTCATTCGCAAAACCTTTCCACGGTCACTAGCATCTGTGGTTTGCCATGGTAGAAAAGCAGCGCACAAGAGAATGTGACCGCTTCGACTGATGCATAGTCCCATCTGATACCAATCCAATTTCATTGCTGCTTCTTCTTGCAAATCTTTGGATAATTTTTTTACCATTTTATTCTCTAAATCACTGAAAAATATGTTTCCGTCTTCTAACTCAATAAGACCTGAGGGCCGCCCTAGTTTTGTGAGAGTCTTGACAGTGGCCTTTTCATTACCATGTATGTCTACTTTCATTAGGATAAACCTCGATATTTTTTTAGTGAGATTTACTTAACACAGCCCTCTTTTCATTTAATTCATAGGCGTGATCCTGGAAATAAATGAATTATTTTAGTCTAATTTGGTTGTTACAGGGGTTGTTTTTTTTCTTATTAATACAAGGCTTTGCATTAACGTCTAAAACAATCTTTGTTTTAATAATTGAATTTCTTGTATGATATCATAAAAATCTTTTTAAATATGTAGGGTTGTTTTCAAACAGTCAAAAATAAATCAATTAATTGGAAAAAAAAAACCTTTTACAACTTATTTTAAAATTATCTCAAAATCACCAACACAGGTAAGGTTTGACACCTGGGGTATTTCACTGTGTATTAAATCACTTCCTGTGTATAGGGATTATGAGTCAGATGACCACAGGTAGACTGCTAGCCCCCGAGATATTCATACCTGTACAAAAGAAGCCCCTCCCTGGCCTGGAATTTACCACCCGGTAAAAAATCTCTGCCTTTAATTGCATTTACAAAAGGATTATCGAAGTAAACTGTATTTTCAAGCCCTTTTCTTTAAACGCATTTAAATTTGAACATTTTTATTTGAGTAATTATTACGCATATAAAAATATTTCAGCATTACCAGTAGTACAACTGAAAAAATAATCATTATTATAATTCTAACAAATCTATGGAATATTTACATATACATACATCATTTTAATTATAAATAATAAAATTTCTAAATCTCAATCTTTAAAACGTTCAGATCCTGAAGGAAATTCAGTATTCAGGCCTCTCAATAAAAATTTTGATTCAAAGAGAAACAAGTTTTAGATTGCTTTTAATATATAACGAACTGGTTAAGAACAAGGAAATTAATTTTCGCTGCTTAAAAGTGCTGTGCTTTTAGATACAACTAGAACAATTTTCAGTTCAGTTCTCTGTATTCGCACAAACCAAAATATTGGTACATAGGGTATATAAATGACATATACCATTTCAAAAAACTGATCAGAGGTGCAAAATATTTATATATAATACAAAATATGGTACACTATACATTCTCAGGCGAGTTCATGCAAACCCAATATTAATTTTTCAAACTCTGATTCACTAATTCATTTCCTTACTTTAACACAGCAGAGAATACAACCACTCATATAGCACCAACGGAAAAGATAATAAAATTCTTCAACAATTCAATAGGCCTTTAGGATGCTTTCGAATAGTCTGCGCTTTTGAAAGTAGTTCGATTACATATGCGTTCAGTAGTGTATGTGCACAGATTGCTCTATCGCGATTATACCCTAATTAGATAAATGTCTTATTCTTCTTTCATTTTAATTTTCAAACAAAAGTATTAATTAATATTTTCAAAGACTGATATGCTTCAAATTTGTGATTAGGTATCGTCTCTCACTGAGATTATTTTGTTTATTGGAGGCATCGATCTGCTTTGATGCTGTTTGGTTTTTCTATGGAGCTATTTATAGTAAGAAAGGCGATCGTGATGCCTACAGCCACGACATTGCTTTCACCAATGCCCGGTAAAAAATGAAGCTAATTCAAGTATTCGAATATTTTCACGTATCCAGTTTCCATTTCTGTTATCCAAATTCTGTCTTCGTTGTCAACTTTTAAACCCCTTGGCTCAGATATACCGTCCATTGTGGTTAGCACATACTTTAAAAGATTACCATCAATGTCCAGTAAATGAACCAAATTGTTTCTTAAGTCCGAAGCAGCAATGTTCCCTATACTGTCGTTATCTAGTTCCGTAGGTTTAAAATCTTCTCTATTCTCATAAAAGCCCCCACCACTGTAGGCAAATCTAAAGAGGCCAGTTCTATCAACAACGACAATAGAATGTTTGTTGACATCTGATACACAAATATCTTGGTTGATATTTGTGGAAATACAAATAGGTCTGCTATACAAGTGTTTTTCGTCGCCCTCTTTCATTATTTCCTGCAGTGTTACACCCTCGTAGGTCATTCGCAAAACCTTTCCACGGTCAGAAGCGTCTGTGGCTTGCCATGGTAGAAAAGCAACGCAAACGAGAAGGTGACAGCTTTGACTGATGCACAGTCCCATCGGATACCAATCAAATTTTATGGCTGCTTTTTCCTGCAAATCTTTGGATAACATTTTCACCGTTTTATTTTCAATATCACTGAAAAAGATACGCCCGTCGTCTAACTCGATAAGACCTGAGGGGCGCCCTAGTTTTGTGAGAGTCTTGACAGTAGCCTTTTCATTACCTTGTATGTCCACTTTCTTTATTTCAGCTTCATTTCCACGAATCCAAGTGAGGTCATGTAATCTAGAACAGGCTAAACCCATTGGCTGCTTAACTGCAGATTTAAATCTTGCTACTTCTTTTGCTGACTTTATGATTTGTTTTCTTCCCTGTACTACCATCGTAGAAGGAAGGTACAAGCCAAACAAATGTCTTAATTCATCCGGGAATTGCTTTGTAACATTGATTACAGCTGGTTTGAAATACAATTTCAGAAATTCTTTATCATCACTGGAAACCTCGAGATTGTTCCTCGTGTACAAAATCAGGTCTGTCATACATTTGGAGTCTCTATCTTGTAACAACGTATTCTGGAGCTTTCGTAAAGAAGAGAGATGTTCCGTAACGTCTTCTTTATAAGATATGATAAATTTGATGGCATCTTCTTTCTCCTTAGATATTTTCTGTAAAACCTCTTTCTCAATTCCATGAACAAGGTCTGCAAGTTCTTTTGATCGGCTTAAAACAGCTTGTTCAACGTCGTTTGTCTGTTTGTTAATGTCACTTAAAATATTGTCAAGATCATCTAGCTGTTCCCTGTGCTTTGCATAGTGAGATGTTTCCATTCTTTCTACTCTTGATGTTATTTTGCCTTTAGCCTCAATGTAAGCACTAGAAATATCAGTCACTTTGTGACCATTGTGAAGTCCAGCTATGCATTTTGTACACACTGGCGTGGTACATTCATGACAACACAATTCATATTTGCTCTCTGGATGCTCGATGCAATACTCATATCCATCTTTTTCTATTTGTCTTGTCAGCGTCATTTTGACAACATCGTGGCGGTAGAAAATCTTCTTACTTTTGTGTTCTGTAGTGCACTTATCACACAGATTTCCACTGCAAGTACGACAGAAGGACTGTGCCGGTTCGTTTTCACAGAGTTCACACAAAACTGCGGATAAACCAATGCCACCCTCAGCCATATTTCACTTTTACCTGAAAATCATAAGAATTTTAATGTATAGGTATGTCAGATGTTTAAAATTACTAAGAAATAATTCCCAATTGTAATTGCATTTCCATAACAGAGATAAAAATATTTTACTAGTATCACATGCACAGATTGTATTTTTTAAGAAATACCAAAGCTTCGTTTTTTATACCCCCGCTTGAAAAGCGGGACGGTATACTGTAATCGGGATGACCGTCCGTCCGTCTGTTACGCTCTTGGGTACCCGTCCACAACTCCTCTATTACCACTGAATGAAATTTGATGAAACTTTTACAGAATCTTTATTACATATTGCCATTGTGACCTCCTTTTTTATCCGACACATATTTTGGGTTTCCCATAGCAAAACATGGACACATATGGGAGGCGGGGATATCATTTACTGAGCTCATTGCTCACAATACCTCTAGTTTAATTCAGTGTATGATATAACAGTCGCTGTTCAAGACCCTCCATAATAGAAAGATTTTATTATCCTTCTCATCTTTTGTCCACTTCTTAAACAATAAAGTGCAGAAAGAAGTAATAACAGCGCACATTATGCAGGGAGGGTGCTACCAAGTGTTTTATTCACAAATGAACATAAGCATTCATATATCACAATGAAATACAACAGCCATAACCATGATAACTATCGACCATTATGATACCCATATCTCTTACATACCTATCAGTTGAGCTTAGACTGCCTTCGGGGAGTACACTTCATCTGTCGACCGGTAGTACCCGCCGTGAGCTTTGTGTATTCTTGTTGAAATCCTGGATATATTAACTTCAGATCCGGTAAGCTGCCTTGTTGATCACATTTGCCCTTGAGTATTGGAAAAAAGTGGAGATATGAAATACATTCATATTAAGGAGCTCAGGAATTATCTTCTCTTTATAATTTTTTTTCCGTTTTCAATCATAACTTCCATTCAAGCGTGACATGTATTTAATGAATTATTTTTTTAAAGATCATCAACTAAAAAACTTGTTATATATATGCATTGAATCTTCATGTGTATGCTTCTTAACATTTTATCATTGGAATATTGTACAATTTCAATAAACAAAAAACGTTTAACTAACCTATGTCAGAAGAGAGCGAAGTCAAAAATGAATATTATTTATGTCTCAATTTCCTGTATCGAAGATGAGAACAAAAGCAATGTTTCAAAATAAGGAAGATTTGTTTGCCCCAAAACATTCAAATGATCAGGTATCAACGCAATGTAAGTTCATTGTGCCTATATCTTTGTCGAAATTCTACCAGAATGGAAAACACTCGTTAAAACAAATTGAAGCCAATCAAGATCTCTTCACATAATTGTACCTATCTTCACATTTTTGTACCTGTCCTACCTTTAAATAATCGTACCTATCTCCTAAAAGTTGTACCTATTTTCACATAATTGTACTTATCTTCAAATAGATGTACTTATCTTCAAATAAGTGTACATATCTTCGAATAATTGTACCTATCTTCAAAAGAATTAACGATAGGTACAAAGGAATTAAAGGTCTAAACGAATTAATAATTATACCTACTTTAAATAATCAAACTTGGGTACAAATGCATGTCATTTATTACACCTATCTTTAATTGAAATACATTTATCTTAAATTCAAATGAAGATAAGTTCAATTAAATCATACATATCTCCTATCATTTGAAGATATGTACAATTGATTTAAAGATAGGTACAATGGAAACGATTTTAAGGATTGGTACAATTCAACTATACATATACCCTGCTTCATTTTTTTTCTAATTATTTAAAATGATGAAGGTTCACTTTGACAGCGAATTAAACAAGTACAGAACTGCACAAAGCATTTTATGGAGAGTAGTTGTTAGTTTTAGTATCATAGATTCAATTCAATTGCAATAATAATCGATTAAACCAGCCGTATCATGAATTCATGACATTTGTACCTATCCTCAAATCAAATGTTTCTATCTTCAAATAATATAAGGATATGTATAATTAAATTAAATGTACTTACTCATTTAAAAAAATTATTTAAGGTTTTGCCAAAGGTCAGGATGTTCAAAAATTTATTTTTACAATAGCTGCAAAACTACATGTGGTGTTAAGTTAAAACTTTTACAGTTTAATATAAATACCTAGTACATGTAGATCACAGATTAACAGATAGAAAGTGTAACTGAAAACAAACATTTATTTTTTATTTTTATTTTGTTTTATTTATTTTTTTAAGAAATTAAATATATATATTTTTTAAATACTGTTTAATGTTGTACTTTTAGTGAAAACCATCATTGCAGAAATAATATATGTGTATCAAAGAAGGGCAAATTGCACGTGAATACTAATAGTCTCTGAAAGGCTATTATTGAAAGCAAGATATGTAAAAAGACAAGGCCCGCATAAAATCCTAACATCTGGACAACATAAACAGGGAAAAACAACTTTCCAAAGGCTTTACATATATTGTAGTCCAACGTGCCCTTCATTGATAAACTTTTTTTCGGCAGTGATGTCTTTCACAAAAAAAAACGGATGTACTTAGGTGTATTTTGTAAAAATATATGGATTTAAAAAAAATTCTCGATTAATTATTTTTTATTTTAGTATTTGTTATCAAGTGATACTCGCTTTCTGTTAATCAATATTCAATAATATATTTATAAACTGTAAAAGTTATCACTTTATAAACCACATAGTTTTAGAGGTTTGTAAAAATAAACTTTTGGGCATGTTGACCTTAAGGAAAACCTTGAAGATAGGTATAATGACTCAAATATTTTAATATTTGTTCATATTGCGTAAACTTTCATAAAAATGTCCTGTTGTGTAACCATGACTGTCTCGCTTCCGTGTATACTATATCTCGTCCTTAACCCATTATGTTAGAAGCTATTAAAACAGGTATATATTAATCTATTTATAGAATTTCAAAGATATTTATTAACATGCTCTTCTATCAATAATATCTTATTCCATTGTCAAAATACTGTATACAAGGTTAGTTTTGCCCCGTGTTATTTTCGCCCTTTTACACTTGCTTACAATTTTGCCTCATTTTAAATTCACCCAACGGGGGCGAAAGTGTCCCTGTATACAGTAATTATACCCCCCGCTTGAAAAGCGGGAGGGTATATAGTAATCGTTAATTCCGTCCGTCTGTACGTCTGTCCGTCTGTTACACTTTGGGGTACCCATCTCTTATCCGCAACTCCTCTCATATCACTGAATGAAATTTGATGAAACTTTCACAGAATCTTTATTACATATTGCCATTGTGCACCTTCTATTTTACTTTTTGATCGGGCACATATTTTGGGTTTTCCGGCCACAGCATAACTTGGACTTTGCCATTATAACTATATGGAGGCGGGGGTATCATTTAGTGAGCTCATCGCTCACAGTAACTCTAGTTGATATATTGTTTTCTGATTGAAATCATTTTAACATACATCAAATGCCATTGTTTTTTTTATTTCCAATACTGTCAACAAAAAAAAGAAAAATTGCAGACAATTTCATTTTAGAATTTCAAATCAATGTCCAAATCACAAACGCTTAATATTTTAAACCTTACTCTTTATTGATTAAAATATTCCCAATAAAAATATTCCCATTGTGATACTACTATTATTATACATGTAGTAAGGCCAAGGAATATTTTAGCTCACCTGTGCCGAAGGCTCAAGTGAGCTTTTCTGATCAAAATTTGTCCGTCGTCTGTCGTCGTTGGCGTCGGCGTCGTCGTCGTAAACTTTTCACATTTTCATCTTCTTCTCAAGAACCACTGGGCCAATTTCAACCAAACTTGTCACAAAGTATCCTTGGGTAAAGAGAATTCAAGTTTGTTCAAATGAAGGGCCACGCCCTTTTTCAAGGGGACATAATCGTGAATTAGTTAAAAATTAATGGCATTTTTAAAAAAATCTTCTTCTCCAGAACCGCTGGGCCAGGAAAAATGAAACTCATGTGGAATCATCCTCAGGTAGTGTAAATTCAAATTTGTTCAAATCATGACCCCCGGGGCAAGGGTGGGGCCAAAATGGCCGACCCAAATTTTGCATAAGAATACATAGAATAAATCTTTAAAAATCTTCTTCTCCAGAACCACTGGGCCAGGAAAGATGAAATTCAGGTGGAATCATCCTCAGGTAGTGTAGATTCAAGATTGTTCAAATCATGACCCCTGGGGCAAGGGTGGGGCCAAAATGGCCGACCCAAGTTTTACATAGGAATATATAGGAAAAATCTTTAAAAATCTTCTTCTCCAGAACCACTGGGCCAGGAAAGAAGAAACTCATGTGGAATCATCCTCAGGTTGTGTAGATTCAAGTTTGTTCAAATCATGACCCCTGGGGCAAGGGTGGGTCCAAAATGGCCGACCCAAGTTTTACATAGGAATATATAGGAAAAATCTTTAAAAATCTTCTTCTCAAGAACCACTGGGCCAGGAAAGATGAAACTCATGTGGAATCATCCTCAGGTAGTGTAGATTCAAGTTTGTTCAAATCATGACCCCCGGGCAAGGGTGGGGCCAAAATGGCCGACCCAAGTTTTACATAGGGATATATAGGGAAACCTTTTAAAATCTTCTTTTCAAGTACTTCAAAGCTATTATTAGTGATATTTATATGGAATCATCCTCAGGTAGTGTAGGTTCTAGTTTGTTCAAATGATGAACGCCTGAAGGGGGGGGGGGTTAATATCAAGCCAGATGTGCTCAGGTGAGCGCTGTGGCCCCTGGGCCTCTTGTTATCACTTAAAAGAGTAAGATTCAAAACGTCTAGTACCTGTGGACCAGATATAACTTCAATAAATCAATTCAATTTAACGAAATGTTTAAAACGTATGATAGAAATATATTGATTATATATTATTTTTACTGTGTAATTCAGTGAAATTGATTGATTGGTTTATACCACGTGTTAAATATAATTTTGCGGATAAAGACTTGAGTTACTAAGAATAGAAAAGGGACAATCCAAGATTTCTTTTACTGATTACGATTAGTTCAGGATCGAAGATTTTATCCAATGAAAAACGTTATTTCTTGTAAGTTCTAAAACTGCAGAAGATGGACGACATGAAAAAGCTTGCAAAAACTGAAAAGCGAAGATTCGCTTCTATTGACGATGAAGGCATCAATTTGATGGAGAATGTTGAAGCACAAAATACCAAACGAATTACCGCAACGTCAGTGAAATTGTTCCGGGAATACCTGTTAACGAAGGGACATGAGTTAGATTTCGAAAGATTCGACAATGAAAAACTTGACGAACTTTTATCTGAGTTTTACCTTGAGATGCGCAACAGAGATGTATAAAAAAACAACACTTATGTCATATCGGCTTACAGAGACATTTAAAGAAGACGAGAACTGAAATTGACATTTTGAAAGGAACTGATTTTAAAAAGCAAAGGCTTTCAAGTGTATGACTAAAGAGCTCAAAAGACAGGGTTGCGCAGCTATAGATAACCATCCACCCATCTCAGACGAACATTTGGAAGTAAATCCACCCATCTCAGACGAACATTTGGAAGTAATATATGCATATTTAACCCAAAACTTGGAGGATGCCAAAATGTTGCAGTACAAGGTTGGTATTTTAATTTTTTAGCTTTAATTAAAAAAAAATCCACTGAATATAATGAATAAGAAATTGTAAATAATTATATCTAAGTTTTTGAGAGTGCTATTGTGTCTTGTTTGTTTAAGGTCTTTATGGACATTATATGGCCGGCGAGGCAGAGAAAACCTTTCCTCCCTGACACGACAAGACTTTGCAGTAATGAAAGGCAAGGGAAATCTACTGTTTGCTTACA